CATGAAAATTTGAAAATTGAAATTTTAAATCTAGAAAAGGAAAAGAAACAATTTTCAAATTCAAAGTCAAAGAAAAGTGAAGAAATTTCAAAGAAATTACAAAATTTGAAACAAAAAGAAATTGAAATTGAGAAGATGGAAAAGGAAATTAAAGAATCAAAATCCAAACAATTAACAATTTCACTTCCAAGTTATTGGAAAAGAAACACATTCCAAACTTATTCGAAAAGATATTACATTATTGATGTTACACAATATTTAAAAGATACAATGCAAGAAATTATGAATGTATCGTGTAATTCTGCAACACTTGGATCTGGAAGAGATCAATTATTAAGAATTAATTATTCTAAATTAATTGTTTCAAGTGTTTCAAGAATTGAAAATTCAACACTTTTCACTTCATTCAAATCAAGAATGAATCATTTAATTTCATATCAAGATTCAATTAATTCACTTCAAGTTCAAACTGAAAATATTTCAAAAACATCAAAAACATTTGAATGGATGAAAACAATTGGATTAAATTCTAATATGAATGAAAAATATTTATGGCATGGAACAAAACCTGAATTTGTGAATACAATTGCAGAACATGGATTTGATGAAAGAGTTGCAAATTTAAATGGATTATTTGGAGCAGGTATTTATTTTGCAGAATATTGTTCAAAGAGTGATCAATATTGTACACCTGATCATTCAAATGAATATACTCTTTTATTATGTAGAGTTGTAATGGGAAGACAAATTCATTTCACAAAACAAGTGATGAATAATCAGAGAAGACCACCTGAAATTTCAGGAAGTAATAATAGAGTTTATGATAGTGTTATTGGTCAATCAAATACTTCAACTAATTCATATAGAGAATTCATTGTCTATGATAAATGTCAATGTTATCCTGAATTTATTATTAAATACAAGAGACAATAAGGAATCAATCAAAGAATTATTAATTTCACTTCACTCCCTGATGTGAGAGAATTACATCTCAACACAAAATAAATATCAACAAATTTATAAAGTTATGGATCGTGAATTTGGTGAAAAGAATTAAGGAAGGCTGCAATTAGTTCTCTGATGGAGTAAAACTCTCCGTATGGAAGTACAACGCTTTGTTGTAATTTGACTTTAAATTTCTACTAATTAATTGCATTGTAAAACTAATCGATCTCAAATAAATCCTACAAATAGGATGAATCAGATTCGAATTGAGGGTGTTGAAGACGTTCCTGATTACAGTTTCAGTGAAATTTCAATCAAAACATTTCGTTGCTGATTAGGAAATGCTTTTCTTAGTCATTTCGAATATTTCTTTACTAATGGCCAATGAAAGAAACACAACAGAAGTAGGAGAAACAAAGTACTACCCAAGAGGTGGTATCTTTAAGCCATCAACGTAATATCCGACTTTACCCGCTCTTGATGGGATGAAAGTAAGAAAAAATGTCGAAACGAAATGAGACGAAACTCTCGCTCATTCAACACAACAAATCATCAGACGAAACTTATCAAGTTCATATAAAATCATCATCAACGGAGAAAGGAAACATTTCAAGATTTTTCTTTTGGATTCGGAAGAAATTAATTCGAATAAGAAAATTTGGATTTCGTTTATAATAGTTTCGATTATGTTCGGAGGATTAGTTTTATTATTAATGAATGATTCATTCATTACGAACGGATCAGATTTTATTCGAAAGGATTCGTTTGAAATTTCTACATCCAATCACGAACTGAAATTAATAGAAATTTATTCCAATACCACTTCTTCTACTGAAATACGAAACGATTCATCAATTTGTCATCCAATTTTATTAGAAATGGGAGCCGAAAGTTCTTTAGGTCTTTGTGATGATCAAGTTTCGTCCAAAACCATCGCAGCAATCTTTCTCTTTGCCCACACCATCCTCGTTATTGTCACTCTCTCTGGCCTTCTCTACAAATTATGGAAATTACGAAACGACATTTCGAATAGAGAAGCCAACTTTCTAACCATTACCAGAAATCCACTTTTAATGACATTAGGCTCCTTAATTGGATGGAGCTATAGTCTTGTAATGATGGGAAGAGTACTCATTGGACGAAAGGTTTATCCATGTTTCTTATTCATGTTTGTTTTCTATATGGCAGTTCCTGGATTGGCAAGTACGATCATTATCAGATGTTTGAGATTGATAATTTTATCGAGGATGAATGAATTGAAAGTCAAGATTGGGAATAGAGAGATGAAGAGTGTGCCGAATCAAGTGAATGATAAATTGGAAAGGAAATATTCGAATGTTGTTGTGGATGGTGGAGTGGTGGTTGAAAGTGAATTGAAAGTTGTGAGCTCTGTAACGAGTACGAGTACTCAGCAAGATGCAATTAATTCTTCTCTTGACAATGTGTCAGAAAGTGAGAGTGCTTGCACAATTTCAGCAATTCCACCAAGTATAGAGCCACAATCAATGAATATTACATTGGAAGATTCTGTGAGTGTAAATCAACCTGGATATTCGAAATGGGAATCATTTGAAAGAAGATGGCTCATGAAAATGTACAAATTTCTAATTAGTTCCAAATTCATAGCCATCTGGTATGCATCCATTGCAATTATACATATTGGAATTTACATTATCATTGGAGCATTTGATTATTTCAATTTCGAGAATGGTGTTAACAATTTTTCCATTGAAGAACGACGATCCATGTCATTTGTGTACGATACTCGAATTTTCTCAGTTGGAGGATGTGGAATTAGTTTCAATTCAGTTTTAATTTTTGTCATTTATTTGGCAGTTTATGGAATTGTGGCCATTGTCATGTCCATTTATAGTTTTCTGGTCAAGAAGGATATTTGGAAAGTTAAAACAGAGCTCATCCTCATTACACTCAATTGGTTAATCTTTTCAATTCTGTACGGAGTTTTTTCAATCATTGAAGTGTTGAGCATTCTCGTTGATTATTTCTTTCCAACAGTTGCTTTTATTTTACTGGCATGTGTCATTGACACGTTTGTTTCATGCACCATTCCAGTATTTTTCTATCAACGTTCCAAGAACTCTAAAGTAGCCAACACTCGACAAGTTTCCACCTCCAACATGCTTTCTAAAATACTATTTGATAAGAAATGGAATGAGGAATTCTTAATCTTTTCAGAGAAGAGTTATTGTCCAGAAAATTTAATGTGTTGGAATTCTATTGAGATTTTTAGAGAATCTTCTGAGAAATTGAGAAGGAAACATATAATTAGTATTCTGGAAACTTATTTATTGGAAGGATCTCCTTTGGAACTCAATGTTCAACGTCAAATATTTAATAATTTTGAAAATATCACGTCAATTGTCAGATCAATCAAAGCTCAAGAAGCAGAATTGAAACGCTTAGCAGAGGAGAATAATAAGGTTGTGGGAACAGCTGTGGTAGCTCTGCAACGTAGAAAGTCAATGAAAATCATTCAAATTCCAACAAATTTATTCGATTCCATTCAGAAACATTGTGAAATTAATATGGCTGATTGTTTTGATAGATTTTATGTGCAACATTGGCAGAAATTATGCATGGAATTGGATGTAGAGGAGTGAGGAGGAGAGGACTAGAGTTTGTTTTTATGAATTACCCCATTAAGATGACTTGTGGCCATAGCTGTCACTTGTCCATATTTGTAATTTATTAATATGCACTTTGCGAAGACGAACGAAGAATAAGGTGGAAGATCTGATGCGCCAAGTCCGTCAAAATATTGAAAAAAATGCCCAACTGCCATTCACTTGGCAGCTGCCACACGTCACTTGACATTCAAAAACCAAAAACAAGATTTTTCATCTCTCTATCTCTTCTCATCATGATGACGATGAATTTTCCAACAAACGCATCAATTTTGAATACAACCATCATCAACACTGAATTACGAAATGATTCGTCAGTTTGTCATCCAATTTTATTAGAAATGGGAGCCGAAAGTCAGTACGGATTATGTGATGACCAAACACCTTCAAAAGCACTTGCTGGAATCTTTCTCGGATTGCACACAATTTTGGAAATAGTTTCGTTTATTGGACTTTCGTATAAATTATGGAAAGTAAAAAGGTCAACCAGCAATGAAGCCAATTTTCTGACCATTACCAGAAATCCACTTCTCATGATTTTGGGCTCATTGGTCGGATATATCTATAGCATTATCATGATGGTTAGAATTTTAATTGGACGAAAGATTTTTCCATGTTTCTTATTCATGTTTTGTTTTTATATGGCAGTTCCAGGATTGGCAAGTACGATCATTGTCAGATGTTTGAGAACTATTACATTATCGAGGATGAATGAATTGAAAATCAAGATTGGTAATCGAGAAATGAAAGATTTGAAAAATGTCGAGTTGAGTGTGATGAGTTCTGTACAGATTGATGCAGTTTCGTCTAGTACGGAAACTTCTGAGAGTAATGTTTCACAAACTAATGTTTCATTTTCGGTTGAAAGTAATGCTACTGGATCACATTCTGGAACTTTGGAAAGTGGAAATCAAATGGTCAACCAGCAAGTTACTTTGGAAGATTCTGTCAGTGTGAATCAACCAGGAATTACCAAATGGGAGAATTTTGAAAAGAAGGTCTTGATGAAGGTTTACAAATTCCTGATCAGTACCAAATTTGTAGTATTGTGGTATTCAATGATTGCCATCGTTCACATTGGAATTTATATCATTATTGGCGCAGTTGACTATGTGAATTATGATAAGAATATTGCACTTTCGTATGCTGAAAAAAAGTCCTCGTCCTTTGTTTACGATACCAGAATATTCACAACCAATGGATGTGGTATCAGTTTCAATAGTGTTCTCATTATTATTGCCTATTTGGTGTTTTATGGAAGTTTTGCAATTGTGATTATTGGATATAGTTTTTTAATTAAGAGAGATATTTGGAGAGTCAAGATTGAGTTGTATATTATTGTGATTTGTTGGATTTTATTGATTATTCTGTATGCTGTCTTTTCAGTTATTGACATTTTGAGTACCTTGTAAGTAATATAGTAGTAGTAGTAGAATGATTAACATTTGACAGGGTTGATTATTATTTTCCAACCTTTTTGTTTATTTTGATTGGCTGTATGATTGATACATTCATGAGCGTGACAGTTCCTGTCTTTTTCTATCAAAAGGCAACAATAGATAATAGATATTCTCAATCTTCTAGAACTAACATACTTGTCAAGTGTCTATTCAATAAGAAGTGGAATGATGAATTTTTACTCTTCTCTGAAAAGAGCTATTGTCCAGAAAATTTGATGTGTTGGAATGCCGTTGAGCAATTTAAGAGAGCTCCTGAAAAACTGAGAAGAAAACTCATTAAGGTCATTATGGAGACCTATCTTATCGAAGGTTCTCCACTCGAACTCAATATTCAACGAAATATGTTCAATAATTTTGAAGATATTTCAGCCATCACTGATTCTATTAAGAGACAAGAGAATGAAATGAAAAGACTTGTCGCAGAGAATAATATCGTGGTTGGAACGATCAAAAAGAGAAGATCTATGAAAATGATTTCAATTCAACCAAATATTTTGGATAGAGTTCAGAAACAATGTGAAGTGAACATGGTTGACTGTTTTGATAGATTTTATATTCAGTATTGGCAAGATATGTGTAAAGATTTGGAATCTGATGAGAATTAATGTTGTGATGAAATATGAAGAGGAAAATAGGATTTAAAATTTGGTGAAAATACGTTCGAAGTGATTGACAAGCTAACGAGCTCCAAATATTTATTTGAAATATAAGGTAATTGAATTACATCATTGGCTTGTGGTCTTTCTGTGGAATTCTTATTCAAAATGAGAGAACAATTTAATTAATTCTTTCGAATAGAGGTTAGGTTCTTCCATTCTTTCAGTAAGCCATTGTTGAACGTGTTCTGGATCTTTGGTAAGATATTGTTCACTAGTAGAGACAAAAATAAATAAAAATATTTTTATACCTTTTACATATTTGTTTCATGATCATCTAGCCATTGATAATTGAGTTCCTTTTCCTGTTCCATAATTTGAATCATTTCGGTACTGCTGATTCTTCCATTCTCTCCAGCAGAAGATCTTCCACTTCTTCTGTACATTTCCAAATCAATTAAATAGCATTGCAATACTGTATCAATAACAGTTTGGAAAATTGTAATAAACAATGAGCTGACAAGTACACTCATAGCAAAAACAATAACCAGCAACATAAAGCTATGATTCACATCAAGCCATTCCTTTCCTGAAAAGACAATTTCAAACAAGCCATAATTACCTTGTTCATTGTAGGCATTGGTTATCTTTCCAACAACACTTGTGAATTCCTCAAGTGATTTATCTTGGGCATGAATGATAATATAAGCCACAGCAACACTAATAATGGCGACTAACATTTTCATACAAAACATGATCCAATCGGTAATCCATTCCAGAACTGCAATAAATGTAATATTCTTACGCATCAGCTTGGTAGAACTGAGTGAGGAGTGGAAGAATGTTGTACCAAAAATGGCACAGTGAATCAAACTGTTTCTAGCAAAGAATTCCATGAATTTTTCAATGTACTTGAGAATAACAAATAGAATTCTATGGATAAATCTTGTTAAGAAATTATTTCTAAAATTGTTAATAAATCTAACAATAAAGAATTGACTCTCAACTGCTTGTTCAACAGTGCTCTTTTCACTTTGATATCCCATCAAGGAAAGGGATGTCTTGATAACCAGTATCAAATATTTCACAAGTCCAACAAATAAACTAGCAAGTGCAATACTTCCTGCATTGTAGTACATGACAAATAATGAAGCTTGAAGAACTGGAAGCTTTAGACACATGAGCGTCTTTTCATAGCTGTCAAATATTGCAGAGCTTGATTCACCTCTTCTTGCTGCTGTTATAGTTCCAGAAACGTTTCCAAACTTGAAATAGAAGGTAGAGGTAACACGAGCAACAACAATAGTAACAAAACTCAACAAGAATTGAGTAATCCAGAAGAAACCAAGCAAGTAGTATGCAAACCATCCTTTCAAGAGATGGGACTGCAAAGTTAAAATAAAGCTTGTTGGATTGGAGAGTGATTGCATCTTTTCAGTAAGGGTATTACCTGTGGCAATATTACTTGTAACTTTTCCAGCCAAAGATGAAGCATCTGTAATTCCAGCGGCTGTCAGTTCATTGGTGAGCAAGAGGGCAACAACACAGAACCACCAAACACAGAAAATAATGCCTCCAATAAAGATTGCAATAGGCAGTACTGTAAACATTTGAGGCACTGTCGTAATAATCATGGCACTCTCCTTAATGATAGAAACTGATCTGGATAATGTCTTTTTCCAATAATTCCAGAAAATAAATGTGAACAACAAATTTGTAAAGAGTAAGAATAAACCACTGCCCAAGTAGAGAGAATTTTCCCAAGTTAAATCAGCAATAGTGGAAGAGAATTTCTGGGACCATCTTGATGAGCCAGATACATTGAAATGTAGATCAGATCCTCCTTCAACAAGTAACATGATGGACAAGGAGAACCATGCAAGAATGAGTAGGGCAACGGTACCATAAATCAAAGGCTTGGCCAATACCCTCAACAAGACAACTGTAATAAATGATACAGCAGCAGTAATTGTAACTGAGATGAGAATAATTTTCCAACTATTATACAACATGGTAACACTCTTAATGATAAACTTTTCCAAGAAGGAAGGCATCAAACCAGATAATTCTTGAATATTAATTTCCTTTCCAATATTTGAAATGGTTGGTAAATTATCAATATAAGGACCAATAGTTGCACTGAAATATGAAGCAGGTGATATAGTAGTAATATGTCGTATCAAATTGGAGAGGGCTGACTTTTGTTGTTCAAACATTTCTTCAGTCATTTCGAAACCTGAAATTGTTTGAAGACTGGACTTGGTATTCAAATTGTTTTGCAATTTAGCCAAATTAGCTGCTTGTTCAAAGAATGCAAATGAAGACGGTGTAGGAATGCAACGTCCCATCACTGAAAAGTAGGTTTGATCTTGAGGAACTTCGAAATAGACAGGTTCTGCTTTCTTTTCCTTGGAGAGGAAGAAACGTTTAGCAGCACACAAGTTCTTCTTTTTGATAATGACTTTGGTGACATTTTCTGTAATGGTTTCATTTCCTACAATCTTTTTAACTTGTTCGGTAATTTCAGTCTTATCGAACCAGGTTTTTCTCAAGGAGAGAGGGCATTCATCCGATACAAATGACAAACTTTCTGTTGATTGAGATGAGAATTCATCACGAACATCAAGGTCCTTATTGTTCAAATTCTTTGAATTATCAATAGTCTTGACAGCACTTGGGCAACTCTCCACACAAATACCTCCATGTTTAATCCAAGTTTCAAATGGTACTGTTGATTTGGCAAGGTCATACTTTTCCTTTCCAAAGAATGCATCCTTTTCATTCATAATCCACAAATATTTACGTGATGAAAGATCTTCCTTCCAATAGTTTTTATCAACCATAGAATCAGCAAATTGAAGTGCTCTATTTTGAATAGATAAACTATCGAGAGATCCATCATCTTTAGAATAATCAACACCACAAGCTCTTCCCAAATAATCAATCGGATAGAAGAAACGTGTCATTTCCCTCTTTGATGGAATAAAGTAATTAAAGAATGAAATATTGTCGTCTAATGATGATGGATTGTTGTTGTTACTATTTACAGAGGAAGTAAGAAGGTCGGCAACACTGGCTTTTAAAAGATTCATCTCTGCCCCTTGATTATGTTCCTTCAATTGTGCTGAAATGTACTCTCTTCTCTTTACTATAGCCTCCAAAGCAATAGCAATCATACCAATACAGAAGAGGATAAACACAATAAGGAAGAGAATATCTCTACATGGACGATTTTGATGGAATTCATAAGTGTACTTTTTAACGAGGAGACTATTACTCTTTCTATTGTTATTACCAAGAAGTGATTCTTCATCAGAGTCTGAATCAAAGTCTAGTGATGGTTTAGGAATGGTAGCAGAAGGTCTTCCGCCATTGTTATTATTATGAGATGATGTGTTATTGTTATTATTTGCAGAGTTTGTAGTTTTGTTAGTTGTATGATTGTTATTAGTTGAAGTTTGTTGTTGTTGGTTTGTTTGATTAATCTTTGTATTGACCAATTCAACTTCCCTCGATAGATATTCTAACAACTCTTCTGGAGAAGGAGTTGGATATAAATTGTTATTATTATTGCCTTGTTGACTCATATTATATAATTATTATTATTTACAAAGTAATATGTACAGATTCATAAATTTACAAATTGTAGCTTCTTGTTGAAATCTTCTCAGAGTACAAGTCTTTGCTTATTATTATTTAGCTTGTTGAAGAAGAGGTCAAACCAGCTTGGTCCACGTTTGTTGTACAATTTTGATGAAGATAATCGGAACGCTGGAGAGATGATGAACAATGAAGAAGGCAAATTTTATTAAAAATAAAAAAAATAACGTGATGATGTTGTTCTATTAATAAAACATTCTATTTTTTGCTTTGGTATGAAGTTTGATGATGAAAATTTAAAAAGATTACATTAGTGTTTTTGTTTCCGGAATAATAATATTTATTTGAATCTTATTGTGAGTCTATTTAATGATTAATATTGAATTTTTGTAGACAAAAGATTAAGAATGGCATATTTGTGATATTCTTAGTTAAATATTGCTTTGTTAGGTATCTGGTCGAGTATTCTCTTTTCTTTGGAATATTGGGACCAGTTGGAGGTATCATATTTTCCTGATGGATTAACTTTTTTCAATCCAAAATGAAATTTTGATTTGTACAATTTACTTTTTTATAATTATTCTAGCTCAAATTAGTAATTTGGTTGATGACACATTAATGGTAAATAGATTAATTAATCACTGTTAGTTTCAAGTCAGCAAAGTAATGACATGTTGTGGCACAAATTATTTTCAAATTTTCATTGAAATATACTAGACACTTGCTTGCAATTTTCCTATTGTAAATCACATAATACGAACTGCCACAATCCACACTCATTTCATAACTTTGTGGACTAGCTCTTCCAAATGAGTAGTACCAACACTCTTGTGGTTCACTGTTAAACTTGTACTTTCTTCCAAAATTGGAACCTCCAATACCAAGAAATCCAAATTCATTGACAAAAGTTGTTGAACTTCCACCACACAAAATACTTTTCGGTTTAAATACATGATTACTTGATAGGTTTCCTTCATATACAATTGGAGAAACTGAATCATTCAATGGTTGTAAGGGAAATGATGGAAAATTCAATTTGGTCAAAAATTTCTCTATAAAATTATAATCGAATCCACATTGAGAATATAAATTAAAACCACACGTATAGACTTGACCATTCTCTAATAGGATACACGTATGAAAAATTCCACATTTCATTTGCTTAATTCGTTCGCCCTTAAATGGCGTATCCATTTCAGAGAAACGGTCCTTTGATATTTGACCATTTTGAACACTGAATGTATCATCACCATGAGTGAGAATATGATGAGAGCCATCCTCTTTCTCATACACAACAAATGTGGAATATCCACTCAGTGCAGATGTTACATATTTCTTATCTGTGAAATCCAATCTCAAGTCAACTTGCTCAATTATACCATTCGAGGTTGTTCTGAAATAATAAATCATGGAATCATTTCCGTACACAATCATGTGAGAAGATGAAGGTCCACATACAATTTCCCTAATTTCAATTCCATCATCCATAAATTTCTTACAACTATTCGAATATCCAATTGAAGTTTCGAATGTCAAAATTAAATTATTCTTCATTTGTAAAACAATAAATTCGAGATTGGAATAAACATTTTCCACTTGATAGCAATTTCCTAACTCCATCATTTCCATAGCAAGTTTATAATTCAATAAATAGAAATCTTGATTATTGACACATTGATTGAAATATTCGGAACAACAGATTGAGCTTGAAAACTTGACAAAAAGATCTTCTTCCATCAAGGTAGTATGATGTTTCGGCCACAATCTCACAACAAAGCAAGTTCCTCCACAAATAACACTCCGAATATCTTTCGAATAATTATTAGAAACCGGTCCGAGATGACAAGGTTCAAAATCATGAGCATCAGGATTTCTAATTCCCAATGTCAGTAGTGGTATTGTATTTTGCATGATCGCAGAAGTGATATTTTTTATATTTAAATATTTTGAAAATGGCCAAAATTATTCTTGTGAAATTGAGAGAAGGAAATGTTGTGCTAATACCAAATCAATTTTGCTTTCATTGCTAGATGTATCAAGGTTATGTTTTTCTTCATCTGAAGATTGGTCAGACGAATTATTGATATATTGGAATATTCCTGTAGAACTATCAGACTGTTTATTGAATGAAAATGAAAGCAAGAATCAATGAAAACAATACAATGAAATAGAATTTGGAGGAAGATGCTTGGTTGACTGATTGTTGAGCTAAAGTTGGTGAAATGGCAAAATCAGTCAAGTGAACAGTTCTACATTTGACTCTGGTATTACTAATCTTGATAGATTCCAATCCAATTGATGAGAATTGTGATGATTGAGTATTGTAGAATTGACACAAACCCATCATTGTAGAATTCATTAAAGAAATGTCAACTTCAAACTCAATTGGGGAAGTGAGGTCTGAAATTTCGAGTTCAGTACCATTAGAAAGAATGTTAATTGAAATAATGGAAGAAACCAAATCAGTCTTGATGTGAGAGTAAATATTTTGTGAAATGATTGATAAGGAAATTGAAACAGAAGCACTGGAATCTAATTGATATTTGGAAGAAAGCAACTTTTTCAAAGAATCCTTTGGTAAGCTCAAGGAAGAAAGTCCAATTTGAGAAGGTGAGAAATTAAAGTTGTCAATTGTGCTCTTTACAACAGCTGTCTTGACAAGATTTGAAACTGAGACGCTCGATTGTCCATCAACCAATGACATGGCTGCTCCAACTTGACTAGCATCAATGACCTTCTTTAATTGAGAAGCAAAATTAGAATTTGATGTGGAAACAGTTGAAACCAATTGAGAAACTGTCTTGACAATGGAAGTTCTATCAGTAGATTGTAAGTTTTGCTTCAAAGATGTAGAAATACTCGACAATAAATTCAAAGTCTTTTGAGCTGTGTCTGATGTAATTTCTGATGGTTGATTGGTTAATCTTTCCAAAAGTCCAATCTTTGCGGTGTCAGAATCAGTTGAAGCAATAATTTGAGTCAAAATGTTACTTCTGATTGATGTCTTTTCAGTAGTTGTAAGCTTGGAATTGAGTAATGAATTGGCAATTTCCAAAGAACTCAATGAAGTGCTGCTAATCAAAGAGTTGACAAGTGAGCTAACTTCTTGAGCTGACATGGTAGTAGTTGGATCTTGAATGGTCAAAACTTTAGTTTTTTCAACTGTTGTAAAAGCAGCATCTCTGACTGCAAAGAAAATTGTCACTTGTCCAGAGCTGAAAGTAGGAAGAGTAAATGTTGGGGATGTTGAGCTAGCACTCAATTCAGCAACATAAACTTTGCTATTTTCTTGAGTATAATAACCAAATGAATAGAGCATGGTAAATGATTCTGGATCCGTGGCAACCAAACTAGCTCTTAAACTTGTCTTGACAGCAAGTGCAGAACTAATTTCCAATCCACTAGTAGCATTGACAACCTTGAATGATGAAATAGTTGGTGATCTGTTAATGGTAATCTTTAAATCTTTTGAAACGGATACAGATCCAGTAGCAGAAACACGAGTAGCATTCAATCTGAAAGTATAAGTTGCTCCTTCTGTTAAACTATTTGCCTTAATGGCTAAATCTTTCTTGTCAGTTCCAGCAACTGAAATAGTTTCCAAATTGACTGCAGTTCCAGAAACTTGAGTCCACTTGTAGCTCAATGAAGAATACGCACTCAATGATGAAATTGTAGATTTGAAAACAATGTCCATCGATCCAGGAGTATAAACAGTTTGTCCAGAGGTGAAAGTTGGTGAACTGATAACAGCATCGAATGACAAATCACAACTTCCATAAACATAATTGGCTGGACAGGTACAAATATTTGGACCAGTACATTGTCCAAATCCACAACCACCCTTAGAGGAACAATCAAATACGTTACAATCACTTCCAGTATATCCTGACTTGCAAGTACAAACATTAGGTGAAGTACATGTACCATTTCCATTACAATTATTGAGAGTGGTACAAGTTGGAGTGTTACAACTAGCTCCTGTATATCCAGATTGACAAGTACAGACATTAGGACCAGTACATTGACCACGATTCATGCAATTCGAAACCAAATTACAACTATATTGATTACAGGTACTTCCCTTATAACCAGCTTTACATAAACAAGTATTAATGGCAAGACAATCACCATTTCCATTACAATTATTCACTCCAGCACATGATGGAGTTTCTCCAGGACGAACAGCTCTCAAGTAATTGCTAGTACATGCAGAGTTTTCACCCTGAGTGAGAAGATAGCCAACCGATGGATAATAATACTTGTATCCATTTGAATCTACTGCCTTAATATAATATTTTCTACAAGCAGTTCCAGAAGAAAGTCTAGTAGTATTATATTCGAAAGTTCCTGCATTCAAAGACGAATCAGTATACATACTCGATGTTGGAATACTCATTGGATATTCCACATCATTAATAAAAATGGAAACATTCAATGGAGCTACTCCCTTTCCCAAATCTGCCTTATGATAATAATTAGCAAGGAATGTAACTGTATCTGTGGCAAACGTAATATGTGTAGCAGCAACGATTGGATTTGAAATACCATGTGAACCTGAGGCAAAATTCTGTGTCCAATAATCACTGAAACCTGTGGCTGCAACCTTTGGATAATGTCCAACTCCAAGAAGGGTATATGAGCTTCCAAGAATGTTGGCTCTGTGTCCATCAGAATTAATCCAAGCCATGGTTACAGAAAGAGGACTTGTCTGTCCAGCTGCAATATTTTCAGCCATTGCTGCTGGTTTAGTGTAAAAAGTAGCAACTCTGGTGAAGGTTAGAGTTCCATCACATGAATTATGTTGAAAACAAGGTACAGTTGCCATGTCTTTCGAATGGAATCGTCCAGATTCTACCAAATTGAAATGTTCGAAAAGTGGAGGCAAACCAGTGGTTTCCAATGACTTTTCTGCTTGGAATAAATTCAAGAATCTGGTCTTGAATCCTGAAGGAGACATTCTAGCCCAATTTGTTAAAACATGGACCGTCTTTTCGACATATCTCGAATAAGTGTAAACTAAATCAGAAAGTGCATTCACACCAACTTGATCACCAATTCCATAAAATTCCCAATTACCATTATCTGTGCTGCCATTGTTGGTTGAAGCACCACCATCATTAGCAAAAGTGGCCATGACAGCACGTTTGTTTTTGGCAAATTTCAAATTGCTGTCAAATGCCATCGAAGGAGGATTTTGTGAAATGACAGATAGAGGTTCATGTTCTGCCAACACCAGAAAGAGGGAGGATAATACCAACACTACCAAGAGTGCATAATGCAACCTGTTACTCAACAACATGTTTGCCCTTCAGATGTCGTTATTTTTTTTGAATGATTTTAAAGCTGTCACCAATATCGCAGGGTTGTTGGCCAAAAACAAGTGAAAAGGATGATTTTGCGGGGTCAACACTCACCTTTCATAGAGTTTACAATTGTTGATCCATGACAAATCATTAAACTCTATAAATGGAAAGTGAAAAAATTACAAAACGATTTCAAAACGTTAAATATTCAATTCTTAAGTAAGTGGCAATTTAATTTGCATTTTATTTAATAACCTTATTAAACTTTCTCTAATATTTACTCTCCCTACAATAAAATCCCAATTTTTGACAGAACGATCAATCACATCAAATAATTCTTCTAATTCATCTTTTCTAATTAAACTCTCCAATTTGTAGGCATAAATTGGTCGAAATCAATGAGAACATTGTTGAGTGAAACCTTCCCAGGAATTCCCACTTTCCCAATGTCTGTTACAATCGGTGCAGTGATAATAGCCGTATTTTCTTGTTGGATTTGAGTTATTGTAAGTTTTCTTGAATTTGTGAGTCATTGTGCTTTTTAATTTGTTTTTGAAAATTGTTTTTTTTATAGAAAATTTCACAATTCCTAACCTTAATTAGGTTCATGCTTTTTTATGAAAACTGATCAATTCAAGTCCATTGTAAACAGCAATACAATTTTTTTGTAATCTTGAACAACCCCTCTCAAATCCTCAACAAGCATTCACAACTCCTCTTCACCGCACTCCTCAGAATTGGCGGCAATTAACAAGCAATAAAAAGCAAATTCCTTCGAAAAATTAACCGCCCAACACTTTGAAAAAAAATGCAAACCATCTTGATGGTGTTATTGGCTGTGGTGGTATTGATTGCTACCTTTGTGGTGAGGCGATTGTTTTCCCTCCATAAAATCCACTCGAAAATTAAGCACATTCCGGGGGTGATGCAAGTATTCGAACTTTCTCCGATAAGAATTCCCTTCTTGTCCACTCATCTCTATCTAACAAGTGATGAGGATTTGGATAAGGCTTGTTTGTTGTATGGAGATGCAGAAACTCAAACTTTGAGTATTGCTACTTCTACTACACCACTCGTTTTTATTAGTGATCCGAAAATGTTGAAGGAATATTTCATTACTAAGGGTCATTTGTTTGAGAAACCAGGATATGAGGTGGTGAATTTCTTTGGAGAGGATAATATTTTGACAGCTACTAATACTGAAAAATGGAAGAAACATTACAAGATTTGTTCGGCAGCTTTCACACCAAAGAATTTAATGTATGTGTGTAAGGTTGCTGACAAGTCTTGTGATTTATTGTTTGAAATTTGGAATGAGAGATTGAAAGAGAATGGATCTATGATTTTGGATGTAAATGAATATTCGAATCTTACATTGGGTAAGTAATTTCGTAGCTCAATGAGTTACTGATCTGAGTCGATCTGTTATATCATAACACAACCTTGGTTGAATAGACGTTTTGGGAAAAGCTGCTTTTAACATTGATTTTGGTTTTTATTCCAATAATGAAGAGGGTAGATACTTTAGACAAAGTATGGAGAAACTAATTTCACCGCAAGCTGTTCTTTCTTTTGCTTTCTTTGGGAATATTCCTTTCTTATTCAAGTTAGCAAACAGAGTGATGGGTGTTCAAGCAGCCACTGATCATTGCAGCGATTATTTAGACAAGATAATTGAGCAGAGAAAGAAGCTATTGTCTACTGGTGAAATTTTGGATACTGATGAAGGAAGTGATTTACTGACACTACTTGTTGGAGCTAATGTAAAGGAAGAAACCATTACAAATAATCAATTGAAGAGTAATACACTGTTGCTATCAACGGCTGGACACGAAACAACTGCTAAAACATTGTCTTGGTAAGTTTTAAAGATGCTATTGAAATTTCATTAACCAAATTAGGGTTTCTTATCGTTTATCTAAACATCCAGAAATTCAAAGTAAATTATGGAAAGAAGTTGATGAAGTATTGCAAGGTAGAAATCCAACCTATGCCGATCTTCCATCTTTGCCATATGTCAATGCGATTATCACTGAATCTTTAAGATTGAATCCACCTGTATATCACTTGGGAAGAATTGCCACTAAAAATCTCACCCTTGGAAAGTATGATATTCCAAAAGGAACTATGGTTCAAGCTTTCATGTCACGAGTTCAACAGAGAGAAGATATTTGGGAAAATGCCAAAGAATTCATACCAGAAAGATTCCTCGATCCAAAAGTGAAAGACAGTTATCAGCACAACTTTACGTATGCTGCATTTAGTTTGGGAAATAGACAATGTTTAGGAAAGCATTTTGCCATTTTGGAGGCTGCCACTATTTTGTGTAAATTAGCTCAAAAGTATGAATTCAAATTGTTGAATGATGAGAGTGTTGATCCAGTGGGTGTTTTCAAATTGCCAGTTGCCAAACCAACATCAAACATGAAGGTTCAAGTCTCTTTGAGAAAGTAAATAATTAAATATTATTAAACATTATTCATTGAAAGTTTTTGGACAATTTCATCTACAGATATTCTCTCTTTAAAACTTGAAAAAGAGTTATATTCCCTCATCATAATATTTCGTCTTACAATTTTATTATAATATATGTACACATACTCAAGCAGCACTGACTATTTCAGGAGTAACTCTTCTTGTGATTCTAACCTTTAAATTAGGGGAAGGTTTATGGACAGGACTTTGGATTGCAACAATTGGATCCTTCTCCAAATCATTCAACAATTCAAATTCGAATCTCTGAATCATTTTGGTCAATATCATGCAAGATTCCAATAGAGAAAACTTCTTTCCCAAACAAGCACGATTTCCCATACTGAATGGAACAAATGTAAAGTTGTGGAATGACGATTCTCTGAATTGTGGATCCACAAATCGATCAGCAATGAATTCGGTTGGTTTCTCCCAAACATCAGGTCGTTTCATCAAGTATCCAAATAGGGTAGCTACATGAGTTCCCTTAGGAATTGAAAAATTACCCAATGTCGTATTCTTGACTGCAACACGAGATAGAATTTGAACTGCTGGATGAAGTCTGAAAGATTCCATAAGGACAGAGTTGACCAAATGAAGATTTGGAAAATCATCAATTGTTGGATCTCTTCTTCCAATCGTTTTGGAAATTTCATTATAGAGCTCTTGTTGAATTGTTGGATTTTTGGAAATTTCAAAGGTTGTCCATTGTAAAAGTGTGGAAGTCGTATCATGACCTGCAAAACTCATTATTACACTGTTACTCTTCAGCTCATCATCAGTAATTAGCTTTTCTGTCATGTTTGCCTTCACCAATAATGTCAAAATGTCATTCATGTCATTAATCAATGGTTTGTCTTCCAACAATTTTTTTCTACTTTGAATCATTTCATCCAAAGATTTGCTACAGGTTTCCAAATGTCCATGAATGCCAACTATCTTTGACATGATTGTTTGTAATTTTCCATTTCCAAATAGACGACGAATTGCCAAAGCTTTCATTGAGAATGTTTGTTGTAAACTTGTCTTGAAAGCTTTTCCTTCTTGATTGGAGGAGAATATTCCAAAATCGAGATTGAAACCTGCCTTACCAAGTACATCCAAAGTAATATCTGAAAAGTCATCATTCGAAAGCATGACACCACTTTCGTCCTTGCTCCATCTTTCGAATAATAATTCTGCAGATTGACAAGCAACTTGACAAACATAGATTAAATTCTGAGGTGAGAATGCTGGACTGCAAACTTTAAAGTGTCTTTTCCATCTTTCGTTATTCACAGCACTCACAATATTTTCACCAAACATGGTAATAAATTTAAAATCAGGTTTTTCATAGCAATTTGCTTTTAGAATGAAGAATTCCTTGAATAGTTTCGGATCACTGATTAAAACTATTGGAGCATCCTTTGTAACGATTCGAGCAGTTTTAGTTTCATCATTCGAATAAGAATCGACTACATTTTCAATTTCCTTGACTGAACCAAAGTAATAGTAGGGAGAAAGAAGAGGAATTCTGAATGGAGAAAGTTCCAATAATTGGAAAACTCCTGGAATGTTCGATACCTTGCTGTATTGCTTGTACAATCTGAAAGCAAAATACGAAACCAAACTAATGACTGTTAGCAACAAGATTAAACCAAATGATTGCCAACTGTTTAAACTATAAAGGTATGTTAGCATTTTTTATATTAATTCTATTCTAATCTTTCATGCTAATCAAAATCTTTTAAGAAAAATGTCGGCGGACAATTTTCAAAGTCCTCTTTGATTGAATTTCAGTTGAGGACTAAGAATCGTAATGTAGATAGTAAATTTCTAAATAAAGTACATATTATTGTTGGAAATGAGATAACCAGTGTATATTCAATCTAAATCCTAGGTCTTTTGTTGAAGTTTCGAATAGAAATCAATTACAGATCTGGACGAATCAAGTTGATTCAAATGAGAAAAGTACCAAGTTTACAATTCTCATAATTGAACGTTTAATATTCCAAAAGACCTTTTCCATTCCCAAATGAGTAAACTTCCCCTTTCGTCTATTTTACAATATTTATGAAAATTAAATAGTGGTCGATTGAAGAAAAAACTCTCATAAAAAAACAAAACAACTCATCTCTTACAATTACCATGATTACTGTTGGTCAACCTTGCTTTTTCACCAAGTGTGTAAGTTTCGTATATCACTTTCCAGTAAAGAAATATTTTCACACAGGTCAATTAGGAGAATTACAACAAATCATCATCTACAGTTTCAAGATTACCTACCAATATGTGTGTTTCGTCTACAGTAAGAAGATTTAACCTTCAATCTTTCTAATTTTCCTGTAAATCATCACCTCAGGAAACACTCAAGTGCCAGATGTTTTAAACGAGAAATATTTCGAATAGGAAACAATCTCCATGCGCTATCTTTCAATTATCTGGCTAGACTATTGCATGCCTGTACCTACACGTTGAATTTGCATACTTTCCTTTACAATCGAATAGTTTTTTACTTTCCTCTAGTTTCGAACATGATAAAACTTCCTTAATCATTCTCTTTCCAATAACTATGTCTATCCAATATCAGTAATATGCATTAATAGAAAGCATGTTAATGTAGAAACCATTCGAATATGTGAAAATTGTCTCCTCGCTCACTACCTTACTAAGAAAGATGAACAATTTCGAATAGAATCAATTTATCGAACAGGCAAAATAAACGAAAATCATGAAGCGCATTGTGAAGAGACAATAAAGTTTCGTTCAAATTAATTTTTTCAACTTACTTTTATAGTATTAAACAACGTCCAAAAATAGTTACCCCACAAATTTGGGAGGAACCAAAATTTGGAAAAAAAATTTGGTGAGCTTTAAAAAGTGGTGGACAATCCCAGCAAAAACTATTCGATTGTACTTTAAAAAAACAAACAAATGCCTTCTAACAACAATTTCTCTCTAATTTCACTTCTTTCCTTTACAATTTTACTTTCTCTCGCCAATTTCACCCTTTCGAATAACAATAACTTAAAGATTGCTTCCTTTAATACTGCTCTAGTACCTGGCACACCAGTCAATGTCAAGAAAATCATAGAAACCATACCAAAAGACCTCGATGTAGTCTTTCTCCAAGAAGTTTGGCTCCAATCTCATTCCCACCTAATTGCTGAAGAGCTGAAATCCTCATATCCATACTCCTTCCATGGACACAAGGAAGTTTTGAATGAAGCATCTTGTACGGATGATTCATTCCATAGATTCGCTCTTCCTTTCCTTCATTGTGTCCGTGAAAATAATTTGACACTTTCGTGGACAACTTTGGGACCATGTGCTGAATTTTTGAGTCGAGCTGCCTATGGAAATTTTAAATGTATATCCTGTGTCCTGACATCTATCGTTGAGAATAAGAATATGGCCAATTGTTACACTCCTGGACACACAGGTCAGGAATTTCTCTATGACGGCTCCAATGGATTGATGGTTCTGAGTAAGACACCAATCTCACGTGCCAATTACACTTCCTATCCTTCATTTTTATTGAGTAGAGGATTATTAGAGATGTGTATCAATGGTTTATATATTATGGAATCACACTTTCCTTTTAATTTTGGGATTGACTTGCCAGTAATGTATCAACCAGAGTTTTCTAGGATGGTTATCATGAAGAGACCTAATATCTTGGTTGGCGATTTGAATAGTGGACCAATGACGCAACCAGAAGGTTATGAGACACTTGCTGGATATGGATATCAGTCAATTGATCCAAATAAGGCAACTTTTTGTGTGAATGGATTAAATTGGGAAAGTGGCGATTGTTCTGATGATCCAGAAAGAAATACTGGAATGGATCATATCATGGTTGATAAATTTAGTAGAATTTTGGAATGGAATTTCAATAATTCCTTCAAACTCCAATTATTTGGAGACTCAACTCCAACTCCGAGTGATCATTTGGGTATCACAACTGAGCTGAATTATAATATGGCTAGAAAACATCCATATTGTGTCTAAATAAACTAAAATAACACCTAGGTTTCTTTGAAATTCATTTACTTCTGAAAGTTTGTTGTAATTCGAAACTGAAAACAGTTTCTTCCTAAATTTTGTTGTAATTCGAAACTGAAAAGATTAAATTCAAACACTGATGAACTTTGCATGATCTAAATTAAATCAAAAAAAAAAATGTCATCATTTAGTGATTTGCCTCCAGAGGTGCTCATTGAGATTTTCAACTTTCTCTCCATAAAACACCTCGGAACGATATTACAAATCGATCGGTCAACTCATAATATTGTAATGAATTCCAGAATTTTTTGGAGAAATTTATGGAATGAATATTACAATCGTCTTTTAATTCCAAATATGATGCTGGAGATTTTGGAGAAGAAATTTGATGAAAATACAAATTCACCACAACAATTTATTGACTTGATAGAAATGAAGAAGGAAATGAAAGATGGAATTCTCAAGATTTTATCAGATTTGGAATTGGATCGAAAAGAGTGTGAAAAATCGAGGGAAGAACATGAGCAAGAGTATGGATATGATGAAACCTCATTGTGGTGGATGGAAATTATTAATGGAATTGAAAGGGATATGGAGCACTATGAGAATTTATTGAAATTGTTACAAGTTGACTAAATATATATTTAATATTTTACAATGCAATTAATTTTTCCCCTGTACTCAAATATATATCATCATACTGATATTTAATTGTAACAGAGTAAGAAATTGAAATTGTTGTTTATTCAATTAAATGTAATTATTTTTGTTGTAATACGAAACTGAAACATTCATTCCAAATCTAACATTTGCATACAATATATGAATATGATCGAGTTTTACACTTCTCAACTCTTTCATTTCACTAATTGCCTTGGAACCTTCCCTTTCAATATTTTCATTTCCATGAATGTATAAAGTTTTCAAGTTGACCAAGTTACTGAGATACTTTGCACCCTGAGTTTGAATTTGATTGTGATCAATGGTGAGGAGAGTTAGATTTTGCATTTTTCCAATAAATTTGGCGCCTTCATCTCCAATTTCGTTTAGTCTAATGTTTAGGTTTGTTAATTGGTTCAATTGACTAAGTGATTTGGCTCCTTCATCATTAATTCGATTGCAACTAATATTAAGAATAGTTAATTTTTGCAGTTGACTAATTGATTTTTCGCCTTCAAAATCACCAAGTAAATTATTGGAAATGTCTAGCTCTGTTAAATTTTTCAGTTGACCAATAAATTCTGCTCCTTGATAAATGCCATTTATAGAAATATTTAACGATGTTAAATGTTCCAATTGACTAATTGATTTGGCTCCTTGAATTCCAATATTGTTATGATTTAGAGTAAGTTTTGTTACATTTTTCATCTTTCGTAAACTTTCGACTAGTTTCTTCCTTTCGAATAAAACTTGTTCAGCAAACTTGACCATTTCAAAACAATTTAAAAATTCGCTGTTATCAATCAACGTTTCCATCTCATCACTGATCACATTAAATTCAATGGAAAATTTCGAATAGTTTCGGATAACATTCATCCATTGTTTGGAGACGAGTATACAATTCAACAAGACAAATTTATAATCATCAGATAAATAGGAAAATATTTCTGTGCAAATTTCATCAGGAAATAATTTGTGGCTGTCTTGTTTTTCCATTTTTTTTAAAGTTTCTAATAACATTTTTAAACTAATTTCCTGTGACCTAGTTCATAAAAATAATATCTGATGAGAAATGAGAAAATCAAGGCACCAAATGCGAGAAAAGTAATTTGGTTGAATTTCGAAGAAATTAAGGAAAAGGGCCGACTTTTGGCGGGAGAATCATGTGCTTCGTACACCATTATCAATGTCCTTAGTTGACCATTTTTGAATAATTTCGAAGGATTAAAAGTAATATCGATTAGCGAACTATCAATAATTTAAACAATTTCTGTGCTAAATGCAAGTTTTCACACTCGGTATGCGAAACTGTGTGAAAATGCAATAATTGAGCAAAAATTGAATTAATTGGTTGAGAATTAATAGAAAAAAATAAGAACACTTGAAAGATAGAAAAAGTGATATTGAAAGTTTTTAAAAAGTGTGAAAATGAATGAGATTTTGCAGTTGACTCACGAATCGATCAAACATTTGGATGTTTTCATGTCGAATTATGTTCCTTACATGAAATCTAATATATCAACAGATTATCCAGATGATAAATTATCAGAATTGAATTTCTTTGATGGTGGAATGGTGAAATTGTGGATTTTCATGTTGGAGAATTATTCACTCACGATGGTGACAATTGTCTTGCCATTTGTCATTTTGTTTTTGAATTATTTCATTCCTAGTGGATTGATGTGGTTGGTAGAGTGGTGCGACTTTGATTTTCTGAGGAAATATAAGATTCAACCTGTAAGTAGTTAAATTTTTATTGGAAACCTTGACGAAACTATTTCAGAAAAGGAAAAATAGTGGAATGAAGATTGTTAAGGCAACATTCTATTTGTTATTCATTTACTTTTTGGTGATTCTTCCAATGTATGCAGTTGCTTTTCACTTTCTTACTCAAATTGACTACTTTAGTCTCGAAGTTTCGAATATCCCAAATTGGAAAGTTCTTCTCCTTCAATTAGCTTTCTGTTTCTTCATGGAAGACACAGCTCACTACTGGTTCCATAGGTGGCTTCACACACCATGGGCCTATCACGTCATCCACAAAATCCATCACGAATTCGAATCTCCAACCATACTTTCCACTAGTTTCGCTCATCCCTTAGAAATCTTAATACTTGGATTCGCCACCTTTCTAGGACCTCTTCTTCTCCGTCCACATTTCCTTACCCTTTTAATCTTTGTCAACCTTAGACAATTGGCAGCTTGTGAAACTCATTCGGGCTTTGATTTCCCATTTTCTCCGAATAATTTGGCGCCAAACTTAATTGGAGGTGCAGATTTTCATGATTTTCATCATCGTAGATGTAGTGGAGTATTTTCATCGAATTTCATGTGGTGGGATATTTGGTGTGGAACTTGTGGTGGATTCTTTGAGTGGAAACTCAAACAACAAAAGAAGAAACTAGCCGAATCGAATAAAATTCATCAAGAATAACCTTGTAAGCATCAGTGTTCAATACTAAACACTTGACAAATATGGAACTTTATAGTTCAATCCGGAGTTGTACTATTTCGGAGTTCACTTCCGTTAGCCACAAATTAAAAAAAATGTCATCACCACAACATGCAACCCTGCTTCTCGCCTTTTT